CCGGCCGGGCGGCGGCCCAGCCTAGTAAATAACTAGTAAGGAATAATGAATAATAATTAATCATCAATCAAATAAAAGTTAATAATTATCAATAACGAATTTTGACTTGTCGGTAGATTAGGTGTCCGTTGAGATCACCTATAGTCCGGGAGTTCACCGTTGTTAGTGAACTTCCTGGAACTTGCAGTTCTGGGGTAAACGATTTCGGACAGGCTGCGAACTGAAAAGAAAATTTGGACAATTAGGAAAAGGAAAAACGCTCGAATTTTGGGGGAAAAAACGTGAATTTTTGGGAATTTCAACCTAAAATAGTCCGATTTTCAGAAGGCCTAAGTCCACATTCGGAAATTCAACAATTAGGGACAAGAAAAAAAATCGCAAAAATTTTGGACTTCAACCCTAATTTTCCACGATTTCGCGGAAATTCCGGTTTATGGTTCCAGAAAACACGAATCTTCCCCTAATGCGAAAAACCAAAATTACTCCATACCGAATTAAAAATAGAATTTTGCAACTTGAATCTTCGATGGCAATGCAGAGCTAATACGGAAACAGAATGCTAATTAAGCAATCGATTTCCTAATCAGAATTACCCTTGTGAGCAGATCCACTTAATTGGTCTGCTCAGATAGCAAACTGTTGCATACTAGTGAATACTTCACCAAGTATGCGCAGAACCAAAGATCAACCAAGTTAGGATGAGCATGTATACAGCGAAGTCTGAGAAATGGACTGACTCACATAGACTGAACTCACCCAAACATCACTCAACACACAAGCAATTGTGAGATGGTGGGATCTAAAGCCGTATAGACGATGCCTCAGGCCCCGCACAACCATACGCAGATGAATGGTGGGAGGAGAGACGATGGAGGTGGGAGATATGGACAGCGCCCGACGTCACCGAGATAGAATCCAGAAGGTCACCAATATGGTAGCCCAAAATGTCATCGAACAAAATCAGAATGTCGCGGACATAAGTCATCAATGTCGGAGGTCCAGAATCCTAATGTAACCGATGTCCGATCTGCGATACCGCCAGGTAACACTCCCAACTATTTCCAATGTCTCGAATCCGTAAGTATCATAGCCTCCTACCACCGATGTCCAATCACTGATCTCTGTCCAACTCGTATCAAAAGTCTCCAGTCTGAAGAAGGAGAAGAAGAAGAAGAAGAAGTCTGTGAAGGAGAAGAAGAAGAAGTCGGTGAAGGAGAAGAAGAAGAAGTCTGAAGGAGAAGAAGAGGAGAGGGGCAGAGCACTAGCAGAGATGGCGAGTAGCTCCAGGCCCTACCTGATGGTACAAGGTGGCACCTTGGCTGCTGCGGGAGACGGCTGTGCTGCTGGGAGATATGGCGCCCGTGGCTGCTGTCAGGTAAGTCTCCCTCCTCGCTCCTCCCTACTGCAGTGCGCTAAACTTAGCGCTGCAGTTCCCAGCGCTGTGCTGAAACCAGAACAGCACAACGCGGTCGCTCCTCAGTCCGCTTCTCCAAGATACTGGAAAGGCCGCTGGACCGGCCTAAGTACCGTCCGGCGGCCGGTCGGCCTCAATGCTGCCCCAGCGCGCCGTGATCTGAATCGTCAAGATTGACGATTCAGATCAGACCGGCGAGCGGCAGCCTCAAGAGCGCCGCCAGGCCCAACGGTAATGTCGTTTGGGCCTATACCTGAGGTTTTTCGGAAACACGATTCAGGTTTCACAACCGCTATCACCAAAATAATAAAGGACACAGCCGATCTTGCCAGCTTCAACTGCTCTGGATCTCACAACGTCGTTACCAGGCTTCTGACCACTACCAAATAGGTCACTTCTTCCGCCGAGGAGCCATCTACAAAACCTCTCTGGACGTCCCAAACCAAAATTACGCTTGCAGCCCTCATCGTCACAGTCGCTGTGACGTTCTCCCACTCCCTCCCTGCCAAACTGGAGGAGGAAGAGCACAGCCCTTCTGATGATTTCTGGCCTTCTAGGTTTGTTGGTATGTGCACCTCCCTTTTCGGGTATACTCACACTAGACTGTCTTACTTATTTCTGGACACGATTGCCATCGGTTGAATCCACGTCCGGCCGTAATTATGGTCAGATGCATTCAGTAGAGTGGTAGTGTGAATACGCCCTTATTCGTAAGCTGTAGTGCAGAGGTGCAAGGCTGCTGTTTCTAGAATTAGTCGTGTCTGCCGCAGTAGATTGCACACGTGCATGACTGCGCTTTCGAGAATTTGCTGTGCCGGCCACTGTAGCTTGGTAGTGGAATGTTGGTTGCCGCAGTAGATTGCACACGTGCATGACTGCGCTTTCGAGAATTCACTGTCTGCCACTGTAGCTTGGTAGTGGAATGTTGGTTAAGGGATGAATTTAGCTCGACTCACTGATGAGACCATGGCAGCCCAAAATGCATCAGGGATGTAACAAAGGATAGTGCCGATTTGTTGAATATCATGGTGCATCGTTGAACTACCAGGGCCCCCGACGCTATTTAAACGAACTGACACTTCTTTTCCAAGCCCATACTAGACCCAAAACATGCGGGCTTACCGGTGGTGCAGCAGGAAGCAAAACGTTTGTTGTTGCTTAGCCACTGGCCCGCAATACCGGCCCATCCCACAGCCACCAGGATGCATAAAATTGTGCATTTTCGAGGCGCGCAATACCGGCCCATCCCACAGCCACCAGGATGCATAAAATTGTGCATTTTCGAGGCGCTCGTAGTAATAGGCACCAGGTGGTTTAACAGATAAGCAGTCAACAAGGATTGGAACAGTCTCTCTTTTTCAATTTCCAGTTGGACATGTTGATTTCCTTCCCTTACCTTTTTCTGTTTTTCTTTCAAAAAAAGGGCAGCAGCTCTGAAACATATCAACTGATGGCCAGTACACGTCTTTTTTCCATGTACTTTTCCTCTCTTTTTCTTTTTCTTCTTCTTTATCTTTTTCTTTTTCTTTTTCTGTCTTCTAATTTTTGTAGCATATATCTCAATCCGTGAATGTCATCGAGTACACTGACCACCAGCCTGCCCAAGGTCCATGGTTCTCATAGAAACACCCCTTTTTGCAAAACTCCTTATCAATTTGATGGTTAACTCATGTGTCTTTGTAGGGAGCGTGATAATAGGACGGATGACGAGTTGATATAACTTGATAACTCATGTGCCTTTGTAGAGAGCTGCCCAAAGCCCAAACTGACCTGTTGTCGCATGGCTTCCTCCGTGACGGTCTGATTAGCAATACATAACTCCATGTATGGCTGGAACGAGCGCTTGAACTCTTCGGCATCCTGTAAAAAAAAAAAATAACAAGAGGAAAGTGGTGTCACACACACAATCCCTGCCTGCAGTAGTCCATGGTCTGAGGATCAAACAACAGCAAAACACCAGCCCAAGAACGACGCCGCACGGTCACTTTTTTTTCTTTTTCTTCTTTCTTGTCCCCTGCCAGCTCAATCACCCAACTGGACAACCCATATCTGCACAATCATTTTTCTTGTCCCTTTCCCTCCCACACAACCCCTCTCCCCTATTTTCCTTTTTCTACCCCAATTAATCACCACCTCTGCTCTCACACCTCCCAGCCTTCCTCAGGCAACCATCGCTGGCAACATCAGCTCTCCTCGCCCGGCCGCGGGGCCTGGACAGCCAAGCTGTCCCCAGCCGCCCCACCCGTAGCCCAGGCCCACTCAAAGATCAATCATTCATCGGGCCACCAAATGAAACACTTTCAACCCCCTCCCCATTCTCCTCCCCTCTCTACCAGACAGCTCGACAGTAGTCGCCATGAAGCCTCAGCCTTAACAGCACAGCCAAGTGCCACGATCCCATCATCCCAATCAACTCTTCCCCGCTTTGCTTGCTTTGCTTTGCCAACAGCACAGGCAAGTGCCACAATCCCATCATCCCAATCTCTCTCTCTCTCTCTCTCTCTCTCTCACACACACACACACACACACACACACACACACACACACACACACACAGACACACACACACACACACA